CAGCAGGAGGGACAAGCCCTCTGTGCAGGGGGAGAGGCTGCCGTGTTAAAGGGAGACAGAGACGCCACTCAGCTCCTCCTGTTCCCACTTCCCAAGCAAGAAGGACGGTCTTCAGACTGGAAAAGGGAGAATATGTAAGAGGGAATGCGGCCCAAGGTGTATGTGGCTGCTTCCCATGGCTCCCATCAGCCCGGACGGCTGGAAGGATGTAAGAGGGGCTGGCAGACCAGGCGGACAAGGAGGGTGGGCTCAGAGCACCAGAGACGGGGCCCACAGCTTGACCTCAAGAAACTCCCAGCCCAGACCGGCCTCTCAAAGACGCTGCAGGCATCCAGGAAACAACAGTAACTGCAGCCGCAATTCCGACCGCATGCCTGCGCTGTGTGGGCACCCGACTGGGCCCCTTCCACGTCTTCACGTGTTCAAGCCTCGGTAGAACCCTACAGAATGGGAACTGTTATCACCCCAGTTTGTGGATGAGCAGAGAGGTTAGGAAAAAAAACAAGACGTCAGGGGTGAGCCTGGGTTCAGGGCCCTGGGCCACCATGTTATGCCCGTGGTGTAGTGGTGCTGCTCTCACTGTATCAGAGGTTTCCAGGGTTGGGACAATGGTGTCCCCATCATTTTTACATTCCTCTTCTCTTTTTTATTGGAGGGTGAGGATATTTTTCCTTTGAGTTTTAGAGAGAGTAAGGGGCGGGGGGGGGGGGGGGGGAGACAGACAGACATTGATTGGTTGCCTCCTGCACACCCCGGTTAGGGATCGAACCTGCAGCCGAGGTATATGCCCTTGACTGGAAATCGAACCCGTGACCTTCTGGTGCACAGGCTGACGCTCTAACCATTGAGCCACGCCGGCCAGGGCTCTTTACATTCTTCAAAAGGCCAAGCATTGTGTCTCACACATAGGTCATGTTTCCATTAAATTTCCTTGGCTCCTCTTTTCTGTTAGGATTCCTAAGTCAATAAAGTAGGGGATCTCCGAGTTGAGCCTGATAGCATTTATCATTAATTAAAGTCCGTACTCGATTCAGAGTTCCTTAGTTTTCACCCAGTGTCCTCTCCCTGTTCCAGGGTTCCCTGCAGGATGCCACCGTGCAGTCAGCTGCCATGCCTCCCAGGACACCGCGCGGCTTTGGGAGTTTCTCCGACTTTCCCTAGCTTTGATGACCTTGACATGCCTGAGGAGTACTAATCAGGCATTCTGTAGAATTTTGTCTGATGTTTTTCTCATGACCAGACTGGGGCGATGGTTTTGGGAGGAAGGTCATAGAGGTAAAGTGCCATTCTCATCACCTCATATCTACCCGACCAATTACTGTTGTCGACCTTGACCCCCTGGCAAGGGAGTGCTTCTCAGCGTCTCCCCTGTAAAGCTCCTCTCCCCCTCCTTCCACACTGTGCCCAGTGGAAGGCAGTCACCTTCACAGCTCCGCCTCCTCGATGAGGAATTATCTACAGAAATTATTTGAATCCGTACAGGAGAGTCTCCTAGTATTTATTTATTCACTCATTGAATAATTTATATCAGCATGGCCTCATGAATATTTATTGTGTACTTTGAAACCTAGTATATTTTGATTTTTGCAAAGCATTTGACTTTGCTATCCCTTCTTTTCCGGGGGTTGTTGGTGAAAAGTGGATAATTGGTGTTCACTAAACCCTACATCTAACGAATGGTAGCTGTCCACCCTGGAACACTAGTGGGTTGGGAAATCAAGGTCTCTACTTGTTTTTATTTTTTTTTAATAAATTTTGATTTTTAGAGAGAGTAAGCGAGAGAGAGACAGAGACAGAAAGAGAAAGAGAGCGTGCCAGAAAAAGAAACACCAGTGGGCTGCCTTCTGCACGCTCCCTGGTTATGTGTTCTAACCAGGAACAAACCCACCACCTTTTGGTGTAGAAGACAACACTCCAACCAACTAAGCCACACCAGCCAGGGCTCTACCTCGTTTGTAAACAAATGAAATAGAAAGGATGGGATACAGAGCATTTTGGAAGGATCCCTACCAGCCGGGAAATGACAATCCTATTTTGTAATGCATGCGTGAAATAAAGTCGGTGTGTAGTGAGTAGGGATGCAAAATGCATTTCTATGGGTCTCAGTCAACCCTACAGCGAGAGCACAACCGCCCCTGCGAGGCCCTGTCCGTGGTCCTGCCCTGCGTTTACAACCAGCCTTGTGAACACCCAGCTTCTCCAACCTGCAGGCAGCGCAGCCTCTGAGAGAGACAGAGCCAGGATTTGGTATTCTCTCTTGTGCCTGTTACAATGGAATGAAATGGACAGGATGGAATCTGGTAGGAACAGGGCCACGTAACAGGTTTAGATTCAAGAGATCACTGACACAGACAACAGGTCTGATCTCTTCAACAGTGAGGGCTGCAAAACAAAAGGAATTGCGTTCGAGTAAGAGAGACCTAAGGGTCACAACAACTGGCTACACTACACAGTTTCAAGAATCCGAAGAGAAAATTAATTTAAACATAACAGGAAAAAAAATGGACATTTTGGGGCCAACTAGGAAATCTGAATAAGGTCTGCCAATTAAATGAGCTGAGAATTTATTTAAGCAGAAAAATGTGAGTCATTTAACTGGGGAAAAAACAGGCTATGAAACAGCTGCATAGCATGATCTCATTGTATAGAGAAAATCCACATATACGCATAGAAACCGCTCTGGAAGCACGTGACCAAGGTGCCACAGTGGGGCTCCCTGGGAAGTGGGACCATGATACCTTTATTTTTGCTTGTCCGTGTTTCTTTTCTTTATATATATAATTAACTTCAGAAAGGAAGGGAGAGGGAGAGAGAGATAGAAACATCAATGATGACAAAGAATCATGGATCGGCTGCCTCCTGCAACCCCCACACAGGGGATCGAGCCCACAACCCGGGCATGTGCCCTGACTGGGAATCGAACCATGACCTCCTGGTTCCTTGGTCGACGCTCAACCACTGAGCCACCCTGGCCGGGCTCCATATTTCTAATTTTCTACAGTGGTTATAAACTTCTGCACGGATATAAGATTGTGCTCTAAGTAGAGAGCAATGGTTGACCCTCCTCCAGGATGGAGCCAATCCTGGCTGGCAGAGGTCTCTAAGAAACACTCCTGGGTGTGGATGGTGTGGTGCACCATTCAAAAGGCAGCCGCACTCTGAGCCACCTGCCTGTGCGAGTGCTGGGCTGAAATGGTCCCGCGGGGTCTCCTGGTCCAGTCCCTCCATGTTATAACTAGGAAAACGGAGTCACACAGTCAGTGAGTAGCCTAGAAGCCAGAGGTCTGGCCCCTGTCGGGTCATGTGGGAATGTCTTAGGGCTTCAGGAACAGGGGCTTTGGCTTGGAGAAGGGAAGATGGGTGGGGAGGAGTGAAGGGGGCAGGAGCGCTGTTTTCAAATATTTTAAGGCTGCCACCTAGAAGACAGACCCATGAGAGTCCCTGTGCAGAACCTCACTGACGACGTGACAAGCAAGCAGGTTTGGCTCTAGAATGTATGAGGGAGAAGGTTTTAACAACTGTCCAGCCAGGGGATAAGGTGGGAGGGGGGTGCTAGGGGCTCAGGGCTGAGCCCACGTGGCCTCCTTCCAGGGGCTGCTGGAAGGATATAAGATGATACCCACCACCGAGGCTCCGGGCTCTGGGACTCCGGGTTCCAGCCACAGCCAGCGGCTTCTTCCTCCCTGCAGCCAGCGTCCTGGGAGGAAGGAGCCAGGGCTCTCCCCGTGCCCGGGGGCTACTCAGCCTGCCTCAGGGGAGCGCAGGGGCTTGGTCGGCCTTTGTGGAAGGAGAAGACCCCCGGTGGCTGCACAAAGCGCCCCTGAGCAAAGCCCGGAGGAGCAGGAGGGCGGCAAGGTCTGCTGAAAGGCTTGGTGGGCTGCGACGGAACGTCAGCCATGATCATCCTGGGATGGGCTACCTGAGTTCCCAGGCTTGACACCTGCCTCATCCACTTCCACCTACTGCTCCCGGGGCTCCCAGGTCCAGGCCACACCCAGGTGCCAGGGAGAGATGACCACCTATCACCCACTTGCAGGTGCCGGGGAGACCTGGATCCAGTCGAGCCAGGCCCTGGGTATCCTGTATTCTGAAATGCGCGGCCGGAGCTGTCCTGGGCACAGAGTGCCAGCCAGTGCCCATTTGAGCCCCGGGGCCCCTGCTCCCCATGCACAGTCTGAGGCCTTGGAGACTCACCGCTCTGGGCCTCCTTCCCCTGACCATCTCGGAGTGCACAGCAGCAGGAGGCGGGGGGTGCCCTGCCCTCCCCCAGACAGTCACCAGCCCCTGTGCCCGCGGCAGGAGAGGGCGCTGATGGAACGGAGCAGCGCCCGCCCTCTGATTTCAGCCCCGAGAACAACCAACATCACCGATGCCTGCTTTCCCCAAACAGACGCAGGCCGCCCGGGGAACACAGCCCGCGCTGCTCCCCAGGCCGGCTTGGCCAGGCCCGCCGCCGCCGCCGCCACGACCCGCGGCAGCCAGGCCTCCCATCGGAGCTTGAATGGGGGGTCACAGCAGACCCCTCCTTCTGTGTCCCGGGCAGGGGTGCCGTCCAGGGCGCAGGCTGCGGTGCGCCCCTAGTTGTCCTCCCCACCCGCTAGGCCCAGCCCGGCGCACGCCTCCCGCCTGGAGCCCCACGCACAGCCCTCTGCGTCTCGGTCACGCGCGGCGGGCCGGGGCCGGGGTCCCAGGCCGGGTCCCGACAGCTCCGTGCCCCAAACACCGGGGGGTGGCGGGTCGGTGGGAGGGACCGGCCCTGCGGGGCAGGAGGATGGGCAGAGCGGACGCCCCGGGCATGACGCTCGCAGCACCGGCGCTAAGGGCGGAAGCGAGGGTCCCCCAGGCGGTTCCTCCCGCGGTGCGGCCGCCGCCTCGGGCAGGAGAAGAGGCCGGGGAGCGGGGGAGGGGCGTGGAGGGGGGTCGGAGCCGGGTGGGGGGAGGCCGGCGGGGGTGGGGATGGGGGGACGCGGGGCGCGGGGCCTGGCGCGCGGGGCCCTTACCTCCTCGCCCTGGCCGAAGCGCAGGCCGAGCGCCGCCACGCGCTCCACGCGCAGGAAGCCGTCGGGGTCGCGGCCGCACACCTCGAACACCTGGCGCAGGCGGCGCACCGAGCGCAGCAGAGCCGCGGGCGCGCCCGCCCAGCCCGCGCCGCCCGCCATCCGCGCCGCCCGCCGCTAGCCCGAGCCCCGCGCCCGCCGCCCGCCCCGCGCCGCCATCGCCGCGCGCCCGCCGGGCCGGCCGCCGCGTGGGTCTGCGGCGCAGCCTCCCTCCGCCCGGGGGCGGCGGCCGTGTCGGCGGGAGGCGGGAGGCGGGAGGCGGGCGGCGCGGGGGACTGCAGACAAAAGGAGCCGCGCGGCTGCGAGTGGGGCCGCCACGCGGGCCGGCTGACCTCTCGCGCCCAGAGCCGCCGCCGCCGCCGCCGCTGACTTAGTTTCCCTCGGAGGACCGAGCTCGTCTCCTCCCGGGGGTGGGGGTGACAGGTGTCCGGGAATTCAGAGCAGCCCGAGGCCCCGCCCCTCCGCGGGAAGCCGCCGGACAGCCTCTCGTCCGCCCGCAGTCTCCCTGTCCAAGGCCAACCCATCTCTGCCCCTTTGTGGGTTCGGAGCACCCAGTGTGTCCCAGGTGCTTCATACGGTAGCGTGGTCGATTGTGACCGCCATTTCCAAGGAAGCTGAGACCCAGAGAGGTTCAGCTACTTACCCGAGGCCACACAGCTGGGGAGAGGCAGGGCCAGGATTCCTATTCAGCTAGATCTGGATGGATCTAGACCCCCTACTCTTAACCTCCTCTGTGCTGCCTTGGAAAGAACCGCCTGCAGGTCTAGGACCACACAGGCCTCCCTGAGGACAGTCTCCGGGCCTGGGACCACACAGGCCTCCCTAACAGCCCTCCGGGCCAGCGTGGGGCTGGGGAAGGGTGCAGAGAGGGGAAGCAGAGACCCTGGGACAGGGGAGGTGGAGAGAAGGCCAGGGGCAAGCAGGGAAAAGGGAAAGCTAGGGACTTCCACTGGGCTTGCCTGTGCAGGCCTCAGGGACACCAACACCTTGGGGAGGTTCCCTCCCTTCCCAGGGTTCCCACCTTCACCCCTCCCTGGGAGTCCTGGATGCCCAAGCTCAGAGCCCAGGATGGAATCTCAGTCCTAAGGACTGGCAGCAGCATCCTGGCCTGGACCTTCACCTCCTCCCAGGAGTCCTCAGCTGAGCCTTTCCCGCAGCTGCTCATGGTGACACCCAGCCCTGCCTGGGGGCCTACAGGACCTGGCCTGGCTCTCCTCTCTCCTTCTACCTTGTTGTTCAGCATGCCAGACCCTTGTGGCACCCGTTGCCCCCAACCCCCAAACGGGCTTCACGGAGCCCACCCCAACATATACTTTCCAGCTCAAGGTTTCCTCCTCCAGGAAGCCTTCCTTGATGCCACCCTACCTTGCCCATTAGTCCGAGTTCTGGTGCCTTCCTCCTGATTCCTATTTAGTTTTATAGTTCTTTGGTGGGGTGCCATCTCCCCAACCATACTGGGAAACCCTTTAGAGCAGGATGTGTCTTAATCACCTTCTTATCCCTGATCTCCAGCCAAGAGGGGTCCAGAGGAAGGAAGCCCAGAGAAGATGGCCCTGCCTCATCATTTCCAAGGGCAGTGCAGGGACTCATGATTCCAGGGGAGGCTGGGCCCAGTCCTGCACACGGCTGTGTGGCCTCCTCTCTCTGGTCTCAGTGTCCACCTCTGTGGTCTCCTGCTCAACTCCAGAAATTTCCTATGCAGCAGCCACCATGTGGCTTCTCTGATGGGGTGCCAGGTTCCTAGGCCGAAGCTCCAGGGATGAACTTGACCTTTAGCTGCCCTTTCCTCCTTGACACTTTAATTCCTACAGGAGCACCCTCTGCGAAGAGAGATCCCCGAGTTTGAGGATTGGTGAGTCCAAGAAATGGGAGAGTGGGAAAGGGGAGGCCTGGGGGTAGGGGTTTTAGGAAGAGGGTGGCTTTCTCTGCCAGCTGGATGCTCCTCAGAAGAAACGAGATTTCTCATCTGTACAATGGGGGTAAGAGTAGTAGCTCTCCGAGGGCTGAGTGAAGATGGAGCCACTGCGTGCATTACTTCCCCTGCACCCGTCCTATGACATGGAGGCAGTGCAGGAAGAGAACCTGGGGTGGCAGGGGAACGGAAGAGGCTGGAGGCAGGTGGTGGAAGCTGGGGCTGCTGTCCCGAGTCCCTCACATTCATTCCTGCACAGCAGCTCAGGCCTGTATTCTCCCACCCAAGAGGCTCAGCACAGCAAGGAGATGGGCAGGTGCTGGGGCTACCCCTGCTGGGAGCTGCTGAGTTGGCTCTCAAACTCCCCAAAATGGGGGACCAGGGGAGCTGGGAGATCACCCCCCCCCCCATCAGTTGGCAGAGGCGGGTGCCTCAGATCTGAGCGTGAACAAATGCTAGGTGAACCTAGCCTTAGCCCACCCCAGATGCGTGGTTCTCCCAAAAGAGGCTCACATCAAATTCAGACGTCCCCTCCTCAGGGGAGCCCTGCCCGCCTGAGCCTGGCTCTCCTGCACAGCTTCCTTTTGGCATTTGGCATTTTTATCTCTGCCCGGGCTGCCTATCTCCCCAGCAGGACGTGGGCTGGGGCTGGTCCTGTTGCTCGCCACTGCCTGTGGGGGCCAGCAGGGTGCACACAGTCACTCTCCTGGTTGTCATTGTTCTTGCTGAGTGCCGGGGGACAGAGAGGAGAGCGGCCACAGTCCTTGATGAGCCCGTAGCTGGGCAGTCCTGACATCATGTGATCTGTGCTGAGGGTCCAGGCTCTGGGAGCCCAGGAGGGCCTGCTCAGCGCTTAGGAGGCCCCTTTAAGCTGGTGTCGTTTCCAAGGTTCCGGGGTGGTTAGGGGTGGACTGGGTCCAGATCCCAGGGCTCCCAGCTCCTTGATCTGAGAGCTCAAAGTGCAGCCCCAACAGGTATGGCGAAAGAACACCCACATCAGGGTCTGGCTGCAGACGGGAAACCTGGGGGTGCAGGGGGTGCTTCGAGGAGGCAAGAGGCCCCTTTAGGGGAGGGGTGAGCAAGAAGGCGGGAGCCTCCCTGCTCCCCTCTTCCTCCAGGGGATCTCCAACAGCTGCACAGCCTCAACTGGCACATCTGGGAAATACACAGGGAGGAGCAGCTGGGTTCCAGCCCGTTCTCTAGGGAGAAACAGGAGTTTGGTCAGGTCGATCCCTGGCTGAGAACCCATCTGCCCATAGGCCTCTCCTGTTTCCTGTCCCTCCTCACTCCTGTCTGGGAGCAACCCAGCTCCCTCCTGCCTCCTGCTTGGGGTACCTTCTCACTCCCACCCCCTCCCTCATCCCATTTCCTCTGGCCAACTCCTGCCCTTCCAGGTTCGGTGGAGTGGCACCTCCTGCAGGAAGCCTCCCCTGACCACATTCTCGCTGCCTGATGTCTCTCCCCTGTGCTCCCGTAGAATTCTGTGCAGAGAGGTAACAAGTACAGACTGTGTGGGGCCACCCTGCCGATGGGGCTAAGGCCGCGGTGAGCGTCAGGTGAGCTGATGTATGTAAATGTGTGTATCAGCTGGTCAGATCAGGGCCACGCGCAGTGAGTTGTAGCGATTGTACTGTCCTGACATCTCTTCCTCCTGCTATTTATCAAGGGCATCTGGGAAGTAGGTATGAAAGGTCACACAGAGACCACAAGGTCCCAGAGGGCAGGGACGACCATGGCATTTTCCTTTTGATTTTCTAGCTACCAGCTCCGAGCACAATGCCCAATCCACACAATCAAGGTCTGCGAAGGGATACGTTGAGGGAGGAATGGGCAAATACGGTGTGGTGGCCTGAAAGATGGCCCCCGAACCGTACCCACGTCCTAACCACGGGCCCTGTGAACATTGCTTTATTGAGCTGAGTCACAGGAATCCTCGTAAGAGGGAGGCAGAGGCCGATTTGACACAAACAGAAGAGGAGGCCATGTGGCCGCGGGGGCAGGGGTCGGAGGGATGCAGCCAGAAGCCAGGGCCCGCCGGCAGCCCCAGAAGCTGGGAGAGGCGAGGGAAAGCATTTTCCTGGAGCCTCCGGAGGGAGTGTGGCCCTGCCAACTCCTTGATTTCAGACTTCGGGCCACTAGGCTGGTGAGAGAATGTTTGTTGTTAAGTCAGCAAGTTTGTGGGAGTTTGTTACAGCAGCCACCGGAAACCAATGCCTGTGGGATAAATATTATGCGGAAGGTATGGAAGGTTATTAAGAGCCAGGCTTTGGAATCGCAAACAGCTGAGCTGGGCACCAAGGTCTGCTGCCCATGTAGCCTTATCACTCTGGACAAGTAAATGTCTCTGGGCCTCAGTTTTCCTATCTGTAAAGTGGGGATAGTAGTTCCTACCTTGCAGAGTCCTACAGGATTTTCATGAGCAAATGAATGTAATGCCTCCCGCCGTGCCTGGCACGTGGTGGTTTTTACTGCGTCAGCACAGAGAGGTTTAGAGCCAGACTAACAGGAAGCATTTCTGATTCTCATCTGTGGGCCTTCATTCATCGTCCTTGTTGCCTGAACTGGGGCAGGAACCACAGTTCTTCCTGCTCACAACCTGCTGTTTGGTTTTGTTTTCACCATGAGTAATGATGGTCTGGAGAGGGAGAATGTGGTGTGAGCCCTGTGCCTTCTCACCTGTCCTGACATACACTCAGCCAGCAGAGCCTGCCGGTAGACCAGCCCGCACTGCTGGGGGCGCCCAGGACCCTGGCAGCGCTGGGGGGTGTCCAGGGTGAGCAGGGCATCTTGAGACCTTGTCCCTCCTCACTGGGAGGGGTGCCTGGGAAGCCAGAGGTTTTACTAAACGCAGTTGCCCACCCAGCACTTTCTCCGACCCACAGAAGGGAGCAGGACCAGCTGATTGCTAACGCAATTGGGCTCCAGATCCTTTCATTGGAAAAAAAAAAAAAAATGGCTCCTAAAAGTGGCTTTGGGTCGGGGCACCCGCATTTACCTCCAGGTTCTTTGCGGGGCTCTCACCTGCCTCAAGCCCACTCTGATCCAGGCCTTCCTTGCTTCTAGCCTGCTCTGCTGCCCCCTGCTGTCAAAAAGAAAAACTCCTATGTCTTCAGCATGGGAAGCACGCAGGCAGGCCCTTTGCAATCAGATCCCTGCCTGTGCCCTGTAAGACGCCGCAGAACAGCAACATAGCCGACCACACTGTTACACACGTATTAAGCACTTACTGTCTCCCAGGAGTTCTGTGTGGCATGGGCCTCGGTTCCAAGACAATGACTCCACATGGAGTTGATCAATGAAATGCCCAGCTGCTTTGCGCATGCAGTTTCTTCTGCCTTGAATGTCCTCCCTTCCTCCACCCCCACAGCCATTCAAATGCCACCTCCTCCAAGAAGCCTTCGCTGAGTGAGCTGCCCTCACCACTCTGCTCTCATAGACCTCCAGGTGGACTCTCCTGGAGCAGCGGTCGCCAACCGGTGGTCTGTGAGGTCTGAAAGGTTGGCGACCGCTGTCCTAGAGTACTGCCATGATGCTCAGTGATGCCCTCCCTACCTGCTGCCCCCTTCTTTGGACAAATCACGTAACCCCTGTGTGCCTCATTTCCCTCACCTTAAAGCAGAGGTAATTATAGCAGCACCTCATGGGGTTCTTGGAGACAACAGAGCTGATGTGTGGCGAGCCGTGGTGCAGTGCCCGGCCTGCAGCAGGCCTCAGTGAAGGGTCGCCAGCCGTACCAGGCCAGCAGAAGGGTCTCCCCTGAGGAAGAAGTGGAGATGAAATTGCCAAGAGCCGGAAGGTGCTCCTTTCAGCTGGGTCACCCAGGAGGAGGGGCCCTGAATGGTAAAATCCGTCCTGGGAGGGATTTTGCATGGGTTGCTATTGTGCATGGGGTCTTTCCCCCATGAAAGCTTCCTGATCACACAGAGCCTTGTTATTCAATAACCCCATGAGCACCTTGAACAAGGCCTGGCTCCTGCATCCGGAGGCCCAGGGTGTAACCACGAGGACAGGGACAGTTGGTGATCACAGCATTGCGACGAGAAGCTGTTCCTGGACCAGGACGAAGGCCTGTGGGCACCAGGAAGCATTTCCAAGAGGTGCTGAAGCTGGGGTTCACTCATGAAAACAAGGGGCCTGCGAAATGTTTGCTGGATGAATGACTAGATGCCGCTAATGCAAGACTCAGTATTTTGTTAATAATTTCTTTCTGGTCTCCTGTAGAATCCCAGGTATGAGCGTGGGTGGCGGTGGTAGTGTTTTTGCTGAAGGTGCAGATCACCTAATTCCTTCCTGCCTCCATCTGCGACGACCAAGTTGGTAAGAGTATCCCTCCCATTCATTCCTCATCTTCCTTTGACTTGGGGGACAGATTCAAAGATGGAGTCCCCTGATTTTGGCCAGCCTGGGACTAAGGCATATCTTTATGGAGTTTTTAAATGAAGATCAGGGTGCAGTCCCCACAGTGGGACAAAGCAAGGAGGAACATGAGAACAGAAGGAGCCAGCCTCCTTCCCGGCGTGCAGCTTTCTGCCCAGGCACCCCTGCTGCGCGTGCTCGCGGGGCCAGGCGGTGCCCAGCCAGGGTGACCTCCTTACACAGTCACGACTCCACACCCTATTTCAGCCGCTTAATGGACACATCTCCACCAGGACAAAGCTCTTGGTCATTTTTCAAGACCCAAATCCTGTCACCAACCCTGCCAGTGAGCAAGCCAAGACGTCTTACTGATAGAGACCAAGGGAGAACGCGGGGTGAGGGAAATGCCTGCCACCATTGGGGGCGTGCCTCGGGGGTCAGGAGTGTTGGACTACTTCCTAGAAAAAGGGGAACACTGTGATGTAGGTTACATTTTTACTCTTCTTCCAGCGCCTCCTGCCCCTCCCCATCCCCATGGGAATGAACGTTTCTGGCCAAGTAGTTCAAGTCCCCAGACTAGCCTGAGGGTGTCCCAGACAGAAGGCAAACACTGTGCAGGCAAAACAGGGGCACAGGGGCCCCATAAAAGAGAAACCACGTGATCCACACCCTCAAGGAGCTGTCTAGGGATAGCGGGTCCGTACCCTGAAGGCATCCCTACTTGTGACTGTGATGCAGGGAAAGGGGGAAAGCTGTTTGCAGCGTTTGGGGATCCTCTGCTCCGGTCTGTATACCTGGGCACACAGGGAAATGAGTTTTGATCTCTCCCTCCCCCGGGGCCACAGCTGGAGAGTTTGCCTTTGCCTTAGGGGTGTGGGACGGGCCAAGGACTAGCCGTCTCTCCAGGGGAGGGACCTGCCTCCTCAGCACTTGCCTCTCACCACCAGGTGTCTAGCTCATGGTCCTTTAGCCCTTTGTTTAATTTCAAAGTGTCCTGTCTTTTCTGACCGACTGCTCATTTTAAAAGAAGTCCAGGCAGCTTATCCCAGAGAATAGGGTCACCCTTGGTCTGGCGGGCCCTAAAAAAAATTTGGTGGCGTTCAGGACACAAAACCCCCAAATATGGCACCTTGGCATACCAACTATCTTGAGCTGGAGCCTGAGAACATGGCTGAGGCCGGAAGGTCACTCTGACCTTTCCCCGGCCCTTCTCCCCGGAAACGGGGGCACAAATCCTCCTGCGAGAGGGGCCCTCACTATGACCAGAAGGAAGGAGCATCCTTGTCTCCAAAGACAAGGCCAGGAACAGACAGGCCTCACTCAGTCCCGGTTTCCTTAGCGCATCCTCGGACCTGCTGTTTCTGCACAAAGGACCCCTCTGTACTAAGCCCAGCGCAGAAACACTCCTAACGGTTCTGTCAGCCTTTAGTCTCCTCCCGAAGGCTCCTGTGTCACATAAAACTTACAGCGTTGTAGACTTTTCTCCTGTTAACCTGTCTTTGTTGGTTTCATTGTCACACCCAGCCAGGAATCCTAAGAAGCCAGAGGAAAACCTTTCCTTCCCCAACATCTTTCACCAAAGTTACTCATTTTAACAGTTGAGAGAGGATCTGGAATGGAAACCCACTGGCCGGGGAGGGAGAGTGTGGGGGGCGGGGGAGGGGGAGGGCTGGGGTGGGAGGGGTGGAGAGGAACCCAAGACATCCTTCAAAGAAAGGAAATGGCGGTAATCTTTCAAAAGATCAGCGAGGAGGGAGGAAAGTGAGGAAACGGAGCTGATGCATGTGAAGAAATTAAATAACTCCCCACATCTTAGAGCAGATTGAATTTACATTTTACTTAAAAAAGGGGGGAAGGGGAGTACATACACAGGGAGGAAAATGGGGTGGGGAACAATGGTCTGAAATAGGTTTCTACCATGTCCCCTACAATGACCGGTTTTGTCTGTTGGGCAGTATTTCTCCTGCTGGCGAACAGCTGCTGACAATATTAACAGGGAACTGCTGAGTGTAGGTCTGATGGAAAGGAGAGGGAGTTATCATATACAATGTAAGTTTATAATACACAGCATTTTCTTTAAATGATGCAACGCAGTCGCAGGAAAAAGTTAACAACACTAACACGAGAATAATCAAATTTTTGTTTGTTATCCATGTACAGCAACTAACTGCTTTACAAAAAAGCAAAATAATACAATATATCATCACATGTATTTACAGTGTAGTAAATATACTTTTCTGTCAAATTTTACACAAACTATTTACAGGTGAATATACTGCATTAAAAAAAATTGTGTGGCTGACACTAAGTGAGTTTTCGTAAAAGTCCATTGCATAACATTGACTAAGACATGCCTCATTATGCCAGGAGATGAAGGGGAAATGGAAAAAAAAAAAAATGAAACAAAAACCCAAAACAAAACTGAAAAACCCTAAAGACCACCACGCAGGGAGGGTTGCCCGCTTCCGTTCGCCCCCCAGAACATCCGTTCTGACCTGGCGCCTGGCTCAGGATCTGCACCCAGAAGGGAACAGGTGTGGAGTGACGAAGCACAGAGCACTCGCCACTTCCCCCGAAGCCAGTGAACCGTGTCTCCATGTTGGCAAACAAGGGCATACCCCCGGGGCTGGGGCAGTGGTAAAATAGGCAGACTACACACAATGGATAGTGATGAGTTCATGTTTTCCTCTTGAAAAAGTCCGGGGAAAATCCACAAATCAAAATCACATGACCTACAAATGTCCTTTACGGAACTTGCATCAGATTTTGCAAAATGGGCAACTTGCTCTGAATGTCAGAATTCCCCGAGCAGAGCACAGGTACGAGGCCTGGAAAAGCACTTCATCCCTCAGGGGAGCATACGTGAGAGACTTATGTCCTGTGCATTTTAGTTATGTGGAAAGCTGGATTTTCCTCAAAAGCCAGAAGTTCTTTAAACAAGGAAAATTTTAAATCTTGGAAAGTTTTCAAATTCTTAGGATGTATTGGTCAAAAGTATGTTTGTAGTTCAAAGAAGGTTCAATTTGATTTGTGCAACGCTGATCATTTCATGAGGTACTTTAAGTGAATTCATGCCATTCATTACATTAGAGGGCAGTGCATACCTTTAAGAAATACCATCCCTTGGAAAACGTGTTTATGGAAAGATAAATATTTTTTTTAACAGTAAACCTTTGGAAGTTTATCTATTTTGATGAGAGAAGGAAAACAGCATAATAATACCCACTGTCATGTGCACCAAACTAACTGACAAAGAAGAAAAACAGGAAACCGAAATGATTGAAGGCTCATGTTGGTCTTTATTCCAGGAGCCAAGAAGGTGTGAGACCTGCCCCGAAGCCCTGGGTTGTGCAAGAGCCAAGACCGGAACAGCAGCTTGGCATCCTGGTCACTGGGCTGTTAGTGACCTTTTCTAAACCCAGTGCTAGTCTTAGATTCTTTATAGTCTTAGTTGCTCTGTTATTATAAACAATCTACTCTAATGCAGCCTCTACGAGTTAAAAACAAAAGTGTAGTTAATTGCACCTGTCTTCAATATTTTCCAATAATTTTATGTCAAAATACCTATTAATACTAAGGTTTTTTTTCCTTTTATTTTGGCAAATGGTCTTACTTTTCCCAGGACTGTAAACAAATTAAAAAGATTAAATTCTTATTATTTCTGAATATCAAAAGCAATTTTATTTACATTAACATATTACATTGTTACTGTGTGAATAAATGTGAAATGTGTTATATTATTAAAACCAGAACACTTACATGTACCATTATTCATTGACTGAGCTGTGGAATTGAATTTACTGAAATCCACTAGGAAACAGCACTACAGGAAACTCCCCTCTCAAAGCCACTACATCTTAATGTATAAAGGGAACCTGGGACTCGGGGGAGAATATCTTTTTGTAATAAATATGGTTTAGTCCTGAATTGGAACATCTAGATACTATATGCTCACTGAAGTCGAATTGTTTTGCATACTGCAGGTACCCCAAAGACACTGGGTCTGCGTTACTATGGAAACCCCCACACCATGATAATCCGTCCCATTCAGTAGAGCAGCACCTCTTACGGTCCCTTACAGTCACACTAATGTAGGCTGACTAGTCTTTTCACAGTGATTAAATGCAATTCTATCATATACAACCCAAATGTTTTGCTAAAGAAATTCCTGATTCTTTTGGAGGGAAAGGATACAAGACAAACTATGTTTTGTCAATGACGTTTTTGTTAATATACACCACACTCCCTCTTTCTGGGAAATTATTAAGCAAAGTAAAAGCAATAGCTACTCAAAAAGTCACGTACCATTTCATGTTGCTCTGCAGCTAATACAAACATCTATACAAGTTACCTTCTTAAAACAACTTTCAACACTCTGTTCACGGATTACCCTGCTCAGAATTGTTTAGGAAAGAAGAGGAGCGGAAAATGTGTAATTACTATACTCAGTATAGTTTTGGTTTATAAAAACAAAAAACAACAACTTTTTAGCATAGTTAAAGATTAAAACATAATCAGCTGGAAAAAAATAAACTAGTTTGGATGACTGAGTTTGGATAAGGCCTCAGAACCCATCGCTGTATTCGGTAATGTTACGATATATGTGGTTACACTTATTTTCCTGTAATTATTGCTAATACTCAAGTGTTAGTATTTCTTAAGAACCCACTACAAAATAGTAAATCCCGCCACCCCCCGAAGTACCTCGCCTGTGGCTTATGGTATGAAACCACTGAGGCCTGACCTTTATGGCTCCTTCGGTTTTGAAAGGTAAAAAAAGTCCACAGCTAAACGTCGGATTAAATATACTGGGGTTATAATATTATTTCTCCCGTGAACGTCTACCTTGGAAGTGTGTACACAGACGGACACTTCCCTTTGAGGAAGAGGAAACCAGAGGCGGGCTCTGTGCACATGGCCTTCCCCGTCGGCAGGAGGAAAGAATCCAGTCTCTCACCACTGCCATGTTCTCAGGTCAAGCGCCCTGACCTCCCACACTCTTTGAAGTTGTTCTGCACACTTGCCTACACCAGACACCGAGAGTAGGAGGGAGAAACAGCTACAGGAAAAGCAGCATTAATTTAGGCAATGCTTCCAAGAGTTGATCATCTGGCAACGCGGCAGCCGGTGGGCTCTTTATAAACAGGAAGTGCAGCATCACAGCCAGTGGTGAGGGGTCCCTAGTGCAGAGCCCGCATACGTACATATGTACGTACGTACGTTAGGTCTGTTTGAAAAAGGAAACAAAGAAAGCTTCACACGATCTTCTTAATGCTATTACGTTTGAAGCTGCCAGTGCTTCTCTGCTTCTGCACCTGGCTTGCGGATCCATGGCGAGTTCGTCCACTGTTACAGTGCCCGGCGGTTGGGGAGAGTTCAACGTTCTCCTTGTCGATTCCTGGAGAGAAACACAGCAGCCAGTTACACCCTCTCTGGTGTGAAGCGCCAGGATTGGATCTCATGGCTTGTATACAAGCTACAACCTGGAGGACTGTTTTTGCATATTTCATTTTAATAGTCAACTGCTAGAATGCTTATGAAGACCTTGTCACACAGAAAAACTCACACTTTGGTAAGAAACTTTTGCTATCACAGCAGAAAAACAGCACAAGGAAAAGAAACCCATGGGAAGTCGCTAGAGGCAGGCCGGCCTGAGGTGAACTCAAGACTAGCAGGGAAGACAAGAACTCCTTCCTCCAAGTCATCCCAGCAGCTTCCAGCAGAGGTCAGCTTCTCGCCACACATCCCTGCTGCTGTCCATGCACACAGCACGCACACTGTGCAGTTACAGAAGATACTGAAATCCGTCATCTCAAAGAAAGGCAGAGCTTTTTATTTTTCTAATCACAGTGCCTGTCCCAAAGGAACTCAGATTTTTACTGAGAAAACAGCATACCACAAAGACCACACTGCAGAGTCTCTGCTTTGACCTCTTTTCCACCGTGGCCAGCCAGCTCATGTTCCGCACCTTCAACACATGCCTCTCATTTCTCTCCTGGAGGGATGAAGCCTCCCTAACGGGGCCCTACAATGCGTCTTACAAATAGTCTAAGTAGTGACTTCATAACAGTGACCAGAAGCAAAAACAACATATTATTTAGCCCTCAGATTAGCAAGGATTACAAATCAGACAGGTAACGGAACAGTGGTTACCTTGGGGAAGTGGTGAATGACAGAAGGCATGAGGGTGGCTTCTAGGGGTGCTGGTAATGCGCTGTTTCTTGATCTGGATGCTGGATTTTTAAGTGCTTACTTATTAAAAGTTCATATGGTCTGTATACTTTTCTGTCTGTTACACTTCAATAAAATTTACCAAAATAATTAGACCAATTATACCCACCTTTAGCATAACTACTGGTGGGAAAGCAACCAGCTGGAGAGCATGTCAGCAATTTGTACCAAAATGTAAAGTACTGGCCCTGGCCGGGTAGCTCCATTGGTTAGAGCAGCGTCCAGATAAACCAAGGTTGCAGGTTTGATCCCGGGTCAGGGCACATAGAATCAACCAATGAATGCATCAGTAAGTGGGAGAACCAATCGATGTTTCGCTTCCTCTCTCTCTCTCTCTCTCTCTCTCTCTCTCTCATAAATTTAAAAAAGAAAAAAAGACTGCTTAAAAAAAAGTACTGGTTGATATTTACTGATACAGAAAGATGACCATAATTTAGGAGTTGGGGGATGATAAAGGCTGGGAAAACACTGGCCAAAATATGTTACCTTTGGATGGTGTTATTTCAGGTAATTGCTACTTTATTCTTATCTGTACCATTTGAATCTTAAACATTAAATGTGAGAATGGAAAAATTTTCACTTTTGGATGAAAAGTAGAATTTCAAGTCTAAAACTATGTTCTAGCAAATGTATATAGATCCACCCATGTCTTTATTGGCTCGTGAACAGAAAACAGATTTGCAACGAGTGCTTTCGAGGAGCCACATATCCTTCTCTTGAACTCAGCCTTGAACTCATTCCGAGTGTAAGGTGTCCACAGGCACACGGCCTGACTCACTCGGGCCCAGGAAGACTTGCTGTCATGAACTTATCAGAGAACTTGGGCATCTGTCAGTGTTTGCTCGTGAGTAACAATGTCAGCAACACGTCTCCAGGGGCCACGCACAGTGTCAGCATCGGTTCTAATCTAACCATGTGGAGACGATGAATGGGAGGAAACACACTACCATGTTCACAGAACTTTTCTCTGAATAACAGAACTCTGGATGATTTTTATTCTCTTCTGCATGTTTATTTACATTTTCTCCAGAGCTCTTTAAAAAAAGAAGCAACAAAACTGAAAGAAGGCTGCTCATCATCTTTTGAATGTACCTTGAACCTGTTTGTACAGGCTCTTTTAATGGCCTTGCCTATCTCTACAGGGTAAAATTCAACCCGTATTTTTTCTCATCTGTTTCCTTCCTGATGCATCTTCTGTCTCCTACCAGAACTACTTTCTCTCTCCTTTTTCCCCTCCTGATTTTATATGGCATTTATATTTACTACATTCTGCTCATCCTCTCACAACTGGTGTATACATCTTGTTTCTTCTACTAGAATAAAAGTACCCAGGAGGCAAGCAGCTCTCTGCTGGCACCCTGCCGGCCTGGGCTGTGTGTGGCCACCTTTGGCGCAGCCCTGCCACTGCTAGGCTGTGGCTCACTCTGGAGGAAAGCAGTCATCACAGTGCAAGGTGGCAATGCCTCTGAGGACAAGGGCCTGCGCAGTGATATTAAGAATTAAAATGAGCTCTGGCCAGTTTTTCTCAGTGGTTAGAGCTTTGGCCCATGGACCAAAGGGTCTCCGGGTCCAACTACCGGTCAAGGGCATGTACCTCAGTTGCAGGTTCATCCTGCCCTGGTCAGGACACATGCAGGAGGCAACCAATGTGTCTCTCTCACGTCGATGTTCTTCTCTCCCCCTCTCCTACTCTCTTTAAAAGCCAATGGAAAAAAACATCCTCAGGTGGGGATTAAAATTACATAAATTGTAGTTACATAGATTAAGTCACTGAAATGAAGGTGACTTCAAAGAAATACTAAGAATGTTCCATTTTCTGTTTTGTTAAGCAAATAACCTTCATATCGCTACATAAAAACATTTTAAAGCCTTATTTATCTCCAGTTACATTTTAAGGGTAAAAAAGCAAGCCATAACATTTTATACATACTATGACCTCAACTATGTAAAGAAAAGAAACTGGAAAGAGAGGTACCAAAATGTTAATAGTGATTATCTAAGAGTGGTGGAATTATGGGTGACCTTTTCTTCCATTTTTCTGAACTTTCTATTTTTTTCCTAATGAGCCTGTGTTCCTTCTAATTAAAAGCATTACAGTATCTCTTGGCTGGTGTGATTCAGTGGTTGAGCATAGACCCATGAACAAGAAGGTCACTGTTGGATTCCTGGTCAGGGTACATGCCCCGGTTGTGGGCTCCATCTCCAGTGTGGGGTGTGCAGGAGGCAGCCAATCAATGATATTCTTTCTTTCTCACTTCCTCTCTCTCTCCTTCTCTCTCTCTCTCTCTCTCTCTCTCTCTCTCTCTCTCTCTCTCTCTCTCTCTCTCTCCCCCTCTCGCCCCTCTCTCTGGAACAACAAAAAGTTACAGTATCACTCACTGACTTAGCCCCATCACTCAACCCAAAGATTCAATGCTATGTGAGAGGTTGAGGTCCTACCTCTGCTCTCAGATTCAATATTCTTCTCAGTTCAATTCTTATTTTTGTGTGTGTTTTCTTCCTATTTAATGACCCAACTCTACACTCACACACAGGTAAATGTGGTATGGCTGTGACTCCTAAGTTTAACCGCACAGCAAAAATGTTGTACACTAAGGATCAAAGGAGAAGGTGACATAAAAATATTGCATGGTTGTTTTCAAGAAAACAATAAAATAAAAACTGCATTATACTTACACCAAAATATAGCATCTTGAAAAAACCAGGTTGTATGACAAGAATGATCTTAGTATCAGGTTATGGCATTTAAGTTTCTAAGCATCATCCCCACTTTGGAGAATTTTGGCACCATTCATTGTTTTTACCCTCTTAAAACTGAATCTAAAAACTTTCTAGAAGTTGGTGAAGGATTTGGTCTCAACGTTCTAAAGGAAAAACTGTCACATTGTCAGTTATTCTGCTCCAATGGAGACAGAATCTACCTGGACTAGTCCCTGCTATGTTTTAAACTAGTCAGCAGACCTCTGTGCTGCATTGCTTCTCATTGAGGCCTCTCTAGAGCTTTGCATCCATTTCTCTCACGCCCCATGCTCTCCCTTCTGACCCTCAGTGGGCACAAAAACAAAAATCTATGTAGTGACAGAAACCCAGGGGTCATCACTCAAGTGGAATCAAGGTAAAAACTTCAATCAAGGTCCTGATTGGCTAGCTTGGATTCCCCCGCAGATGAGCTGTGGCCAAACATGCAGCCAGTGACAACCATGCAGGGCAGAAGCAGCTGGGAATCCTCTATAGCAATGTACTAATAAGCACTATGCTCAATGGATTGTGGTAGTATATTATGGATAAAGATGCAAATCCTAAGTAAAAGGTGTTTTTGCTCCAAATTTAGTGAATTGAGTAAATTACATTACATTATAGTTGTTTAAGTTACATGTCCATTTCCTCTGCTTGCACGTGAGTTCCTTGAATGCAGGTATCAGGGTTTGCTTATTTTGACAACTGGGGATATAGATCTGGCCTGACAAATCATTAAAACACCTAATTTTGGTGTTTGTTTTTTAAAACACCAAAACCATTTCCCGAACTAGAACCTGATATTTTCATGACATGATAAAAAGGACTGGATCCCTTTTAGTTCTTGAGAAGCTGAGGGAAAATGGGTTAGGTGATTTGTGAGAAGTTAGACAACAGCAATGAAAGCCTAATAATAACCCCTATCTCCCACCACCTGCACAGCAAAAATAGTAGGTTATGACTGCATTGCTTAGCTTATTACACATTTAATGGGGCAAACCTATTCAAAAAGTCTTATTACATGCACGAGAAGGCAAACATGTCAGAAGACCCAGGTCTGAGTCTGGGTTGGATCAGATCTAGTTCTAGTTCTTACTCTGGCCATGAAGGATCAGCAGGTTTGCCTATTTCAAAGGGTCCTTAGAAGAATCAGACGAGATAATCTATGTGAAGACTTTTTGATAATATAATTACTATACAAATTAAGATTCTCCTAATAGCTGAAATAACAAAGACCACATGATATACTAAAAGGAGTTTTAGAACAAATGCATAGAACTTGAACTTTATACTAGAATTTGTAAAATTACTGAAACTAATGTAAATAAGCACAAAAAATAAATCTTGAAAGAAAAGACAACTATAGCTTCATATGCTTTAGTAAACACATTCATGGGTACATGTTAAATATAAATTTAGAAATATTTGTATTTTGAGCTAGATATGCAAAATAGTAACTATAATAATTTAAAAAATTTAATGGACTTTCATCAATTGCTAACACTTTTTCTATTTAGTCTAATCTTTCTACATAATAATTATAGAAGAATAAAAGAAAAAAGGCATCTTTTATAGATTAGCTGTGAGTATATCATATCATACTTTTTCCTTCTTAGTACTTAGCGCTAACTAAGGACCATATTCCTTTTTTAAACACATGGGTGATAGAGTGGACAGCCAGGTTTAATTTGTAAGAAAATACTGGGGTTGATTTTTTTTTTTACATTTGGGAAAAGAAATACTTCCTAAACTAAAAACTCCTCAAACCACACACCCTGCTTACTCTATGAACTCTCCACAGTCTCTTGCTAACCTGCCCCTGTCAGTCCAGCGCTCGGGGAGTAGAAACAGCTCCCTGTCCTCAGTCTCCTAGACCAGTGGTCAGCAAACTCATTAGTCAACAGAGCCAAATATCAACAGTACAACGATTGAAATTTCTTTTGAGAGCCAAATGTTTTAAACTTAAACTATATAGGTAGGTACATTGTTATTAACTTAATTAGGGTACTCCTAAGCTGGCCTTTGCTAAAAACGTCCTCAATCTGATTGAGGTATGTTCGCTGAGATCGACCTCTTCCATTCTCCCATCCACACTCGTCTTGTATACCTGTTTCGCCCAGGCGGAAAACCGACTTCTGTGCATGGGCCACGAAGTTTCAATCGCACTGTATGTGCGCGCCTGCACATGGTATTTTGTGGAAGAGCCACACTCAAGGGGCCAAAGAGCCACATGTGGCTCGCGAGCCGCGGTTTGCCGACCACTGTC